AAATTGGAACCCTTGTACAGTGCTGATGGGAATGTAAAATGGTATAGCCAATGTGGAAGTCTATATGGAGGTGTCTCAGAAAATTAAAAATAGAAGTTCCTTATGATCCAGCAATCCTAATTCTAATCCTAATCCCCAAAGGAATTGAAAACAAGGTCTCCAAGAGAGAGGTATGCCCATGTTCATAGCAACATTATTCACAACAGCTAAAACATGGAAGCAACTCAAGTATCCATCACGGGATGAACTAATAAGCCAAATGTGGTCTATACATACTGTCGAACCTTAAAAAGGAAGGAAATTCTGCAATATGCTACGCCATGGAGGAACGTTGAGGACATTATGCTAAGGGAAACAAGCCAGTCACAAAAAGGCAAATACTATAAAGTTTTACTTATACGAAATACTTAGAGTAGTGGAAATCTTAGAATCAGAAAGCAGAATAGTGGTCGTCAGGGGCTGGTGGGAGGGGAGAACAGGGAGTTACTGTTTAATGGGTACAGAGTTTCAGTTTCACCAGATGAAAAGAGTGCTGGAGATGGATGGTGGTGGTGGTTGCACAACAACGCGACGGTATTTAATGCCACTGCGCTGTACGCGTAAAGGTTAAGATGGGAAATTTTATGATATGTGTGTTTTACCATAATTTTAGAAGTTGAAAATAAAGAATGTGTAAGGAAGACAGCTTTCTTTATTGTATTCTGCGCTTGCTTCCTAGGTCCCCAGAACCTTATCTAAGAGCTGTGCAAGATAAGGAGCTGGGATGCAGAGTCAGAGGTTACGGGGAATCTTGTTCAAGACGGTCTCTTCCAAGTTAGCCCGCTGTCCCCAAGGTGCAGGCCCAGGGTCCTCACCCATGGCACAGCAGCCTGTCACCCGTGTTGCAGAAAGACAGGTCAGGGGTGCGAGGCATGTTGGCAATTTTGGTCCTTGTTCCTGAGGCAAAACATGGGGGAATCTCAGTAATCTGAAGTGTGTTTTCACACAGTTTCCTCCTGATGGCGTTCCAAAACAAGCATTCCTAGACACCTACTTCAAGACTATTTGACAAGACATATCTCTCTGACTGAATGGGTTAGGGAAGGGAGCATTTTACAGATTCCTTTTTAAGATTCGGAGATTTGCACACCTGCTGGTATATTAATGATGCAGTGGCTGGGGAGAAAATTTACTAAGCTTCACTCTGGTCCCATAATTGTGGAGTGTAATTCTTATTTCATTTTTTTTTTCTCTTTCCTCTTTCTATTTTTAAAGATAATTCTCTTCCCCAACCCCTCCACAACCAACCACCCACCTATTCTGAGAGCTAGATATGAATTTTCTTATAACCAGCCAGGAGGCATCAGTGACAATCTTTGACTGTTGTAAATAGGAACATAAACCCTGTTCCTGCATGCACTTCGTAGGCTGTCTCTGCGGTGCTGTCCTCCACAGCCAAGGAATGTGCTTCTGAGTCAGCAGTCAGCTGCCGCAGGACAAAACATGCAGGATGTTGTCAGCTGGCAGAGACTACACAGATGCCTGGAAACCCGGCCTCACCTCCTCTTCCTCTTCCCTCCTCAGGCTCCCCACTTCCGTTACCCTTTCCTTCCACACCTTGGCTTTTCAGTCCCCAGGATTTCTGGCACCTTCCTGCCAGATTTCCTGGTCTCTAGGTTCCTGTGATTATAAATGCTGATTGTCCCAGGATTCTGGGATGAACGGTACACAGGAGTGGTCCAGGAGAGGCCAGGAGGAGCATGATCTGGCTTTGACCTTCAGGAATGAGGGAAATGGGGGTGGTAACAGGAATGGCTCTTCTGCCATTCTTCCCAGCTGTTGTCAGAGTGCGTGAGATGTGGTTTGCAGAGTAGGAAAAGTGAGGCAGCCCAAGGGAATTAATCTTGTGTAGTCTTACCTTGGGTGCCTGTCGCATTGTTCCAGGAACCAACCTACCTCTATTTATCTGTTGTCATTAGTGCCCTGCGGGTCGAAATCCCTTAGACAGGGTATTTAATACTTGCCTGACGCTGGGAAACAGGCACTCTGCAGCTCTCTGGGAGGTGTGGCTGAGACCTGGTAATTTGAAAATGTTTTGCAGCAACAGAAGGATTGGGGGCAGCTGTTAATGAAGGTGCTCATCTGGGGTGGGGTTTGATTTGGAAATATCCGGTGGTGGTTGGCAGCTCTTTGGAAGTGAATATTTATTTCAAACAGAGTAGGCTACAACCAGCCAAGGGGATGTTAGGCCACCGGGCAGAACCCTTCTTTGGAAGTAAATGCCTAAGACTCTCTTTTAGGGGAGGTGTGAGCACAAGGCAGGCATTATGACAGGGGAAAGAAAGGCTTTTGGAAGTATGTGCTGTGGGACCTTTAATGTGTTGGTTTCAGCAAGAACGTCGTGGTTCTGAGTGCTCTGAATCCTGGCAAGGAGTGGAAGGTGGCTGCTGTTTAGGAGCAAAGAAAAGTCATTTTCTTCCTTGACGTGAGGTAGAGATAGATCAGACCAGGTGTATTCAAAGCTTGCCAAATACTGTGACTCTGGTTGGAGTTAAAATTGGTTAGTAACACAAGCAGAGTATGCAGGGTCAGGGTTGCACAATGCCATCTACTTGCCAAAGAGCAAATAAAGCTGATGAAATCCCCACAAAGAAGGCAAGAGGCAGAGAAGGCCCCTGGTATAGCAGATGCTCTGGGATCTTTGTTTTTAGTCATTGGTTGTTACCTGTCACTGTTGTTACTTCTTCCTTTGGATAAGCACATCTGGCCTTTCCCACCCGTATAAGCCATCTGCCATTTTGACTATCATTTCTGAGATAAGCGTTGGCTTGTAAGAAAAAGAATGGGCTCTCTTTAGGAACTTTAAAATGTTTCTCTCACTGCTTGCTGCTACCTAGAATAAAACTTTACTTAGGAGAAATTGAATGTTAGTTCCAGTTAATTCCATTTAGTGCTGGACTCTGGCCGCATGGATATTGGGACAAGCTGTGTTTATTAGCAGTGCAGTTTTTAATATTCAGAGCCGGGAGGGGCTGTTGAGTAAGTGATATATTTGAGGTGAGAAGCCAAGTCAGTGTGTTTCAGGTAGAGAATTACCATCTTTGGCTCATCCTCACGGTGCGTGAAGAGTGTTGTATCTGAAATGGCAGTGCCTTGTATTTAGTTATTACTTTCTCTTATGAAACAATAAGATGCATCTCCAGTTGGTTTGGTTGGGTCTTGTAGTATCATGCTGAGGTGTGGAGAGAAGCAGAATATTATTTCTGTGTCCCACAGGGGGATTCTGTTGCTCATTGACTTACCCAGAGTCAGAGCTTCAGGACAGAACCCTGGGGCTCTTTCGTGTCGTTCTGGAATGTGGCTCCTATCCCCCTTGCATTGGTGCACTGGATAGTGGGTCATATCTTGCTTCTACACCCCTTGTGAACACAGTGCATCAACAACTTCCTTCCTCCGTGTGCCGCCACCCCCAACAGTCAGTCCTCTTTAAAGCAATGTCCCAAGCCAGCCATGTTCACGCTAGTGGTAAGCTGGTAGGGCGCCTGTGATGAACTGCCTGGCGCACCAGGTGTGAGTGCTGTGGCCGTGATTTTCTCAGCACTAGACTCGGGACTTCAGGACTGAAGAGAGTTCTAGAGATCATTGGTCTAAACTCTTCATCTTAAAAAAGGGGCAGTCAAGGCCTCATGAGACAAAGGGACTAAGCAGGAACAGGCAGCCAAGGTCTGGCACATGTGGGCTCAGTGCCACAGCTGTGCTCCTCCCACTGCTCCGACCTGCTGTCTCTTCTCCTGTGACTTAGTTTTGCTCTCTAGCCCTTTGCCGCCCACTTCCCAGTAATAGTTCAGTAGTGATGATCGTAGAATGTGGCACAAAAATGGAGGAGGACCAAGGGGGCGAATGGATGAAGGAGCACATAAGGTGCCACCTCCCGTCTTCAAGCCTCTGCCTAGCAGACATACAGGACGGTGGGTGTGTGGATATTTTTGGTAAGTAGAAGGTACAGACATGATTGTTATTGTCAAATATGATTGTGGGCAAAGCGGAATGGCTATAACGTCACACTGTACTGTACACAGGACTTTCTGAGTTCTTTGAATCCCTGCTGACTTTGGCACTTCTGAGCTTTCTGCTTCTTAGACTTCAATGATGCCGCCCTTGGTTCTCTTCAGACCTCTCTCCACTCTTCTTCAAATCTTTTTAGAGGGCTGGTCTTCTCTGCAGCCTCTTCTAGGTTGGTGCTTCCCAGATCTCATCCAGAGTCCGTGGCTCTTTTCTCCCCCTGGACTTTCCTTGTTGATCTTACCTGCTTTTCACAGGTTCAGCCACCACCTGTGACTCCAAATCTGGGTCTGCATCCCCAGCCACTCCCTGAGCTTCATGCGTATGCCCAGCTGCCTAGTGAGCACCTCTACTTGGGGAGCTCAAGCGGAACAGATGGAAAGGGAGCTCCCACCGCACCCTCTTCTTCTACCTTTAATCCACCACCAGCCTGGTGTCACCGTTTACTCAGCAGCCTAAGCTGGAAACCTGGAGATCTGTTAGTGACTCTTTGATCTGCACGAGTCATTCACAGGCCTGCCTGTTTTGCTTTCTTATGTCCTCACTTTTTCTCTGCCTGGCTAAAGTTTATCCTGAAAGACTCAGCTGTAGCCTCTCAGAGGCTCATCTTCAGTGGGGACCCCACCTCCTTGTGATTTAGATACTCTTACTCTGTGTTCCCTGGACCCTTGTGCCTCTCTCTCTAGTGGCACTTAGTATCGGACATTGAAACATTCTGCTTGTGTGTCCGTCTCATCCACTAGACAGTAAGATCCTTGAAAGCAAGAGCTGTGTTATCATCTCTCCACCCCCATTGTCTCGGAGAGGGCCTGGAATACCGCAGCTGTGCAGTGCACACTTGTTGAATGAATGAGTGTTAACATTTGGGAACTCCACTTTGAAAAAGAGTGTGTCTCCTAGAAAATGTCTGTAGAGACAGCAATACGGACCATTTCTTTTTCTTTCTCTCTTTTTGTTAGATTAACGTGACAGTGTCAGGTGGATCTACGGCCATCCCACAGCCCCCTCTGTGGGGTGCTGAGGGCAGGCAGCATGGAGGAGAGAAAGCATGAGACGATGAACCAAGCTCATGTCCTCTTTGACCGATTTGTCCAGGCCACTACCTGCAAGGGAACCCTCAAGGCCTTCCAAGAGCTCTGTGACCACCTGGAACTGAAGCCTAAGGACTACCGCTCCTTCTATCACAAGCTCAAGTCCAAGCTTAACTACTGGAAAGCCAAAGCCCTCTGGGCAAAGTTGGACAAACGGGGCAGTCACAAAGACTACAAAAAGGGAAAAGCATGCACTAACACCAAGGTAAGGGTTTGGCTACTGTCGGGCCCTGGAGTCACTGATGTGAAGATTTAACCAGATGCCAAAGAGAAGGATTGAGTAGGGGTAGACTGGGTGAGAACCAGCAGAGTCTAGCCATGGCCAGCGTAGGAAGTCAGGCTTCTACCTTGTTGAAACTTTGTGGATCTGTTACCTATATTTATTTGACTCCCATGTTCCAGACCCTATTCTAAGCATATTTCATGCATTTACATGTTGAACGTTCAAAGTTTCAACTATTTAAGAACAACCCTGAAGTCAAGAGGCATAGGAACATTTTATTTTGCTGATGCTTTCTTTTGAATGTCACATTGTTAGAAGGATGTAGGTCATGTAGCAAGGACATAGCTAAGCCCTGTTAGCATGCTCTCTGAGCATGTCTTACTGATCCTTGGCATGCTGTCTTTACAGAGTCACCATTCCATACTCAGTAACTGGTAAGGCATAGTATTTGCTAACTTGAGAATTTGCCACAAGCTTCAGACTTCTTCCCATCCATGTTCCAAAGTCTGTTCGGGTTCATAAGCAAGGTCTTTGTGAGCTGAAGTATTTCTGTTGCTTTCTTCACAGTGTAGAGAAATAGGATTTCCGTGAAATAGGTAGGCCTGGATAAAGACCCAGGATGTGCAATCACCTGTTCAGGGGGAGATGTGAGGAAGTGGAGAAGGAAAAATACATTTCTTACTTTCCTCCTTGGAAGAAGCTAGCAGGGACACAAATTTACAAATGACTTCATGGCTATTTTATTATGTCCTTTTATTAGCTTTAATTTGCCCTTTGTGGATACCTAGAGACCACTGCCAGTGGATTTGCATTTTCTTAAACAAAATCCAAGAAAATTTGAAGGCATGACTTTTATGAGTGAGTGCTCAACTTTTATTAAGAACAAAAGGCATGCAAAGCCAAAAATTGCATGTATGCCTTCTACACATACAGTGCAATCTAGTTAAGATAAGTGTCCAGTCTCACCCTAAGTACTTCTCTAGAGTGTGGATTTTCACAGTCATTTCCCTGGACTTTCAGTCTAGAAATTGGGATTTTGGAACTCTTTTCAGCACATAAAACTTTGGCTCTTGAGAGTTCCCTTGAGTGGTAGAACCATTCCAGGACTCTAAGATTGCCTGGAGTACGTATTAATAATTTTCGTCCCCTTAGATAGAAATCTGCATGACTTAGAAATCTTCTAAAAGGTCCTCTCCTGTTGATAGAAGATTAGATGCGATTTTCACATTGTTTGTTGAAATGATGACCCATTTAAATACGTTGCAGATCTACGGGGCTTACAGGCTGTCCAAGGTGAACATGTGCTGAGTTTGTGTCTAGCACTGACAATTCAGAGTCTTCTCTATCCACAGCAATCCTTAGCTTGTTTCTCAAGTCCTTGCAGGTGCTCTGCTATGACCCAGATGGGTGGTTCCTTGGAAGTGGGTAGAATAGCCCTGTTTGGGAGCTTTAAGGAATGATAGTTATAAGATAATGAAACTTCTCTAGAAATGTTTCTCAAGAGGTGCTGCCTTTGCCCTGAAAACAGCTGTTTTTTTCAGTGTCTCATCATTGGAGCTGGCCCCTGTGGTCTCCGCACAGCCATTGACTTATCCTTACTGGGAGCCAAGGTGGTCGTTATTGAGAAACGAGATGCCTTCTCCCGCAACAATGTCTTGCATCTCTGGCCATTCACCATACATGATCTGCGAGGTCTGGGTGCCAAGAAGTTCTATGGAAAGTTTTGTGCTGGAGCCATTGACCATATTAGTAAGTAAAACCAGTTCTCCTGCAGAATTCCACTCCTAGCCCTGCCCACTTGTTCAGTAGAAAGAGACAGGTAGATTATCTAAGGAATTCATACTCAGCCCAATTTGTTCTAATCTCATTAGTATTTGTCTGGTAGCAAGCACACTCTGCTTGGAGTAAAAATACCTGCCATGCAGTGGTTCTGTAATCTAGGACTCTTAACCACAAGTGTATCTCCTATGAAATGTAGAATTTGGCTCAAAGATTTCTAAGTTAGGTCTTGGACTCTTGCTGAGCACTTACAGTGCTTAGGATGCACACTGGGGCCAGGTGTTGGGAAACAGATGACCAACTTGGGCCCTCTGTAGTTCTTAGTCCGATGGAAGAAGTATGCAGGTGTGCAGCTCTCTGTAATGTGATCTGATATACACTCTGCTACTATAAGGACAGAGTGCTGTGGGACCCAGTCCTGGGGAAGCCACACTTAGAGAAGAAGCAGAGTCCTAGCTTGGTCATGAATGGCAAGTCAATAATGGGATTCCTTTGGTTGGGTGGTTCTCGTGAGGTCTACACCCAGAATAGCTCTTGCTATACTCTTGTCATCCATCACCAAGCTCAGGTTAGGCCTATGCTCTTCCGAGATCCCATAGGGTATAAATACAAGTTAATGCAGTCAGTGCTGTTTGTTTGACTGTAAGTGGCCTATCTGAAAAGCAATTCAAAAAAGACAGTGCCTGTGTTAGGAAGTTGAAGTCTTTTTTAATTGATTATCATTAATGATTCCAAGAAAGCCTTATCAAGGAAACTTTGTTATGAGCTCCTCCAGATGTGTCCGATAAATATATTCAACCACTGAGCCTTGTGCTGTTTGAAGCAGTGGTGCCAGTTTATCAAACACTGGCCAACAGCCGCCACATTCCTCTGGCAGAGAGAGCATTGCCCATCTGTCAGCCTGTAATTTGTAAAGCATCTTGGAACCCACAGTTGTCTGCAAAAATAAAATGTGTGCTAGCACAGGATTTGATGAGTCTTTGGTAGTGTGACTCAGAAGGGTGGTGGTTGTAGTGAGCTGGGGAAAATGACCAAATGACCAAGAGGAGGATTTGCATGTGCTCCTAGCAGATTAGTCATGGGCCACAGGTAAGTTTGGTCTTAAGACCGAGCCTCATTATTTCAGTGGATTTTTCTGCCTTCTGTGTGACAGGATTTATCTGGGAGCTGAGAGGGTCTTAGTTCAGGGACTAAATTCTTATCTCTGTGTACCTGAAGTTGCTTTCATGTCTGGCACCTGGCAGGTACTCATTGGACATCAAATAAATAAATAAATCTTACTGTAATAATGAGCAAGATTTGCTATCATTCTGGGCCTCAGTTTCCACAGCTGTAGACCAGTGGTGGGAAGGGGATGGTAAGCAGATACAGCTGGGTTGTGATCTCCCTTACCTACTAAGAATGTAAAGGTCTGTGAGGGCACGGGATGGGAGAGAGACTGTGGGTGTCTTAGGAAGTAGTGCAGCAGCTTTGCGTCGGACTGTGAAAGCACACCCCTGGTGCACATCTTCTGTCTCCTATGGTAAGTGCCATGTCCTGTCAGGATTGTAGATGCTGCTAGTTTGATGGCTCTGGATAAGGGGAACATGGAACAGAGTGTCTCCTGTTGGCCACAACCCCATGTTGTTTCAGGACTGTTGATTGTCAAAACACCTCACCCAAGAGGTGGGAGTGGCCTGCGTGTCTCTCTAGAACATCTCTTCCACCAGATTATATCTGCCCTTAAAAAAAAAAAAAAGAAGAGGCCAGGCGCGGTGGCTCACGCCTGTAATCCTAGCACTCTGGGAAGCCGAGGTGGGTGGATCGCTCAAGGTCAGGAGTTCGAGACCAGCCTGAGCAAGAGTGAGACCCCGTCTCTACTAAAAAAAAGTACAAAAAAATTATCTGGACAACTAAAAATATATATAGAAAAAATTAGCCGGGCATGGTGGCGCATGCCTGTAGTCCCAGCTACTCGGGAGGCTGAACAAGAAGAAACCCTTGAGCCCAGGAATTTGAGGTTGCTGTGAGCTAGGCTGACGCCACGGCACTCTAGCCAGGGCAACAGAGCCAGACTCTGTCTCAAAAAAAAAAAAAAAAAAAAATGAAGAAAGAAGTTACAGAGCAGCAGTCCCCAACCTCTTTGGCACCAGGGACCAGTTTCGTGGAGGACAGTTTTTCCATGGACCACAGGGTGCGGAGGGGATGGTTTTGCGATGGTTCCAGCACGTTATATTTATCGTGCAATCAAACCTCTCTGCTAATGATAATCTGTATTTGCAGCTGCTCTCCAGCGCTCGCATCACCGCCTCAGCTCCACCTCAGATCATCGGGCATCAGATTCTCATAAGAAGCACGCAAGTTAGGTCCCTGGCGTGTGCAGTTTACAGTAGGGTTCACACTCCTATGAGACTCTAATGCTGCCACTGATCTGACAGGAGATGGAGCTCAGGCAGTGATGCAAGTGATGGGGAGCATACAGATGAAGCTTCACTTGCTCACCTGCTGCTCACCTCCTGCTGTGTGGCCTGGTTCCTAACAGGCCACGGACTGGTACTGGTCCATGACCTGGATGTTGGGACTGCTGTTATAGAGCATGGCTTGGAAAGTGTCTCCTGCCACAAAAGGCTTTGAGAATCTGAGTGAAGGATGCATAGGTGGAGGGCTGGAAGCCTGAGCAGTGGCTAATGGCAGGCACCCCCTTCTCTGTGCACCCCACCAACGTAATCTTTGTGTTTGCCCAGGTATCCGTCAGCTCCAGCTAATACTGTTGAAAGTAGCCTTGATCCTAGGCATTGAAATCCATGTCAATGTGGAGTTCCAAGGACTTGTACAGCCTCCTGAGGACCAAGAGAATGAACGTAAGTTGGATTGAACAAGTGAAGAAGGCATAAAAGGGCGTTGAAGGGTGAAGAAAGGAAGAAAACTAGAGGCACCTGCGGACTGTTTTTAGAACTAGCTAAGAGGGGCGTCTGCCTTTGTACAGCCTGCACCCTTGAGGACTTGGCTTACTGGGGAGGCCTTCCACATGGTATTGGACGTCGCAGGCACTAGCATGGTGGGGAAGGTCCCTAGTGAGCCCCCTTTAAGCTTCTTTCTTTCTGTGGTTTGTCCTCAGTGCTCTTACACATAGTGTTTTTGTCTCAGGGTTTTGTGCAGTCTCTATGCCTGGCTATCTAGAGGTGTTCTTGGATGTGTGAATGTAATCTGGGTGATGACTTTGGTCTGGGTGATGACTTCCCTTTTGGCTTTGGTCCACAGGGATAGGTTGGCGGGCACTGGTGCATCCCAAAACTCATCCTGTGTCAGAGTATGAATTTGAAGTGATCATCGGTGGGGATGGCCGTAGGAACACCTTGGAAGGTACTGACTTATGCTCCTTTGCTGGTTTGTAGCAGAGTGAAGGCTGGCCCTGTCCCACCCCGGGTGAGAGTTTGTGTCACCATCGTCCGTGCTCCTGAGAATCTGTGTGTGTGCTGCCCACTCTAACTGAATGGCAGGCCTGCCTTCTTCTAGCCAGCCCATCCTTGGGCTGCTTCTCACAGGGTGCTTGTGTTAGGGCACTAGGAGACGAGCCGTACTCGGAGTGCTTGACTGACACTGCAGGATTTGATCTATGTATTAGTAAGTGGGTGCCCTCCCCCCTTTTAAATGGGATCCCTAATACTGAGTAATATTCTGGTCAGTTATGTTTCAAATTGTTTGCAAATGGTGTGGGAGACTTTGACTTCTTTCCAGAATTGTCGTGTTCTTTGGTAGGCAGATACCTTATTTTCAGATAGAGGAGAGCTGCCCTAAAATGTTCCCATTGATTCTTACTCCCTATTTTCCCTAACATCTTCCTCAACCCCCCCTTTCATTTGAAGTGATCTTCCTTCCTCTCTAGGTAACTGTTGCCACCTCTGAGAGTTTCTTTCCCTCCAGGATTTCGTCGGAAAGAATTCCGTGGCAAACTGGCCATCGCCATCACAGCAAATTTTATTAACCGAAATACAACAGCGGAAGCCAAAGTGGAAGAGATCAGTGGTGTGGCTTTTATATTCAACCAAAAATTTTTCCAGGAACTGAGGGAAGCGACAGGTTGGTGTAGATGCTTCCAGAGCAATAAGGATAAAAATTTCAATAACCACTCATCACTTTCCTCTTGGGATTTGGTGGGTGGGTGGCCCTTGGTGTCATTACTGTGTTGTTAAACCCCTCCCGCCACTCTCTCTTCACTCCCTATACCCTGTTCTTAGCATGAGGCTTCCCACAGAACTTGTTTCCTCCTCCAGTATTCTTAACCCACATTACAGTGACTGGGCTGCTCTGGGTTTTATCTTTACTTATTTATTTGTTTTATTATAAAATGTTCAATTCTGCCTTTACCAATCTTCCCCGACGCCTTACCCTGTACTGCAGTTCTCAGTGTAGCATGCCGATGCCTGGTAGTTCCCTGGTTTGACTGAGAACCTGACTTTAGGTATTAAGTGTGTAGTCTTCTTTCTGGGTTCCAGTTTGAACTTGAAAGCAAAGCATGTGCCAGACAGGAATGAGATTGTTGTATGATAGCTTTTGAATAGATTAACTTAGATATTTTGCTAAATGTGCCTTCATTCTGTTTTCTAGAACTTGATTTCTTTCCATCACATCTAATTTTTAGATTAATTGAATTAAAAAGTCAGTAGTTTACTCTCTGCTTGTAGGCATTGAGTTGTCTATCCTGTTCTTAAGAATCTAAGAGATTCCTCCAGTTTCCTTGATGACTATTAAAGAGGTTTGACCTGATAACTAACCCAAACCGTCCTGTAGAGGTTAGCCCCTTTTTGATTTGTTTTGGGTTTTTTCCCCCATTTTTATAGTTCTGTTTACTCATTGTTTTGGGGATAATTTGGGGTGTCAAGTGAATTATAGAGCAGTACAAAGAGAAGAAACAAAGCTCCCTGTATTTTCATGAACTGATTATGCAGGAAGTGAGAATCTGGGCATAAACATCTTTCCCTGCCTGGGGTTTTACAATCCCTGTCTCATGCACAATCTTTCTGGCCACCTTATGCACCTTTTTCTCAGCAAACTCTTACATGCACACGTTTGTTTTCTGGTCCCAGGTATTGACTTGGAGAACATCGTCTACTACAAAGATGACACGCACTATTTCGTTATGACAGCCAAAAAGCAGAGTTTACTGGACAAAGGGGTGATACTGCATGTGAGCAATGGATTTCCTTCAAATCTCTCTTTTGTTGAACTAGTTAATAAGAGAAAGAATTTTATTGTCTGATGGGTTTTGCTTGCAAGGGAATGAAAGTGAGCCCTGAACACATCTCCTGGTAACTCCTGATGTTTTCAGTTTAACAACTTTTGTTATGGATAAATTCAAATGTAAATAAGAGTGGGGAAGACAGTGTAACGAACCCTCATGTGCCCATCATCCAGCTTTAACAGTTAGCAACACGCGACCAGTGTTGTGTCAGTAGTGCCCCAGCCCACTGCTCCTCCTGCCATCAAACTGTTTCGAAGCGAGTCTTAGGTAGCATTTTATGCATAAACATTCAATCTAGTTTTAGGTGATTTGTTTGCGGTTCTAGTGAATTCCATACATGACCAGTTATTGGCTGGTTAATAGGTTACCTTTTAGTGGGGGTGATAGAGGGGAGGGGGGTTTGATCCAGAAGCAATAATTGGTGTTTGTGGAAGCCTGCCAGTGGTTCTGGTATTACCATAGTCATGGTATCAGAGTTCCAGGCAACACTGGATCAGGGTGTATTTAGGTCTCTGTGATCAAACACCAAGGACTTAATGTCCATCCTTAGCCATGCCCAGCTGAGCCATTGTTCTAGGTGACAGTTGCATGGAGAATCCTGAGATGATGATCCTGAAATATGAAATCAGAAAATCATAGGATGGATGATTCCTTAAAGAGTTTGTTAATGTCTTATTTGGTCTCATTGGTCTAAATATGAGAATTACTATCCCCATGTGGCAAGAAGGGTAGAAGTAAAGTGTCACCGGACGTGCTGATTCAGGCCTGTGGAGTTCCCAACAGAGACTCATAGCTGAGCTTCAGGGAGTCCTTTGTCTTTGCAGGATGATGATGAATCAAGTCACTTTAGTCTGAGTGACACTACTACCTTATCAAGGGCAGGATGGGAGAGCAAGTGACAAGCACGTGCCTACCACACTAAGCCCCTTTCCACCCGGAGCCCTGTGACCGCTTCTCAGCACAGCGGTCCTGTGTGTGCGGGGAGAACCAGGACAAAGCAGTTTGTATAGCCCATGCTGCCAAGAGCATAAGCAAGATGTGTTTGGTTGGATGCCCCATAGAATTGGTCTGTTAATTATCTGGGGCTCTGTTGGGGTTACATTGCTGTCTATAAGAAACAGCCAGTGGAGTGGTTTGTATGCCTTGGGACTAAGTTAAGATCTAAATCTACCATCAAAACAGAACTGTGGTTATCAGTAGAAATTAGATAGGGACAATCAAGAATGCCAAGACCTGATTTACTTTTCCTTTTTATTTATTTTTTTTTAGAGGGCAGGGGCTGTGTCTTCTGTGCGTACTGCTAAACACTAAACGCATTGTGGCCGCTTGTTCAGTGTTGAACAAACAGTATTTCCAGGACCAACTTAAGTGTTTGTATTTTGACTTTTAACATCTTGTAGTGGTGGTTGAAGGTACATGAGGGGCACTTAAAAACCATAGGCCCCACTTTAAAAGAATAAAGAGTTGGCTCAGTGTGCCAGGAACCTCCAAAACAGCAAAGGAGTTTTTCAGTCCTTTATGTGGAAAGCCCCTTTTTCTCTCACCATTGTTCTTCTTTGTTGGTGGATTTCTATAGAGCCTTTCAGAATCTTATGTATTTTGAAAACCTCTGTTCCACATTCAGTATGTTTTTCCCAGCCTCCTGGACTACTGTTGCTTCCACCTCTGTGTCCTTGGGCATTAAGGCTTCCGGGTTCTTCCTCCAGGTCTGATGTACTATGCAAGGCTGAGCGTGTCACATGGTCCTGTTTGCCAAAAGCCATTTACCACTCAAAAGATAATGATTGCCGACAATACCAAATGATAAAATGCTCTTTCAGTTCACAGAGTACCATCCCATAAATTCTTTTATTTGATATTCAGAGCAATTCTATGAGATCAATTGGACAGGATCAAAGGAGAAGCAGTTTGCTCTAAGGAAATGGAAGAACTAGGAATGTGTTTTTAGATGGCAAAAGCTGTGCTCTCTTAGAAAGAGTCCCCTCTCCCCCTTTTCTTTTTAAATTGTGTAAAGGATTTGGTTTGCGAATGTGAAATCACTTTAGGGGAACGAAAAGCTGCGACACCGGGTTCTGTCTGCCATGGGTAGCACGGTTTTGGCTGGCTGAGCTCGTGGTCCCTGCCGGGGCTTTTCCATCGCAAGCCTCTTCTCTCTCTGGAGACAGGACTATGCCGACACAGAGCTCTTGCTTTCCCGAGAGAATGTGGACCAAGAGGCTCTACTCAACTACGCCAGGGAGGCGGCGGACTTCTCCACCCAGCAGCAGCTGCCATCTCTGGATTTTGCCATCAATCACTATGGGCAGCCCGATGTGGCCATGTTTGACTTCACTTGTATGTATGCCTCCGAGAACGCCGCCCTGGTGCGGGAGCAGAATGGACACCAGTTGTTAGTAGCTCTGGTTGGGGACAGCCTCCTAGAGGTGAGTGCTAAGGATGGCAGCACTTTATGGTGGAGGCAGTAATAAGTAGGAATGCATCTGGGCATCCTGGGTTGTGCAGCACAGGCCAGTTCCCCATAGGAGTTACACCGGGAAATAGGGAAGGGTCATAGGCTGCTGGGAGCCTTGACTTAGTAAGTATGGATGGAAATTCTGCAGCTTTTGTGCCTTGCCCCACTACCAATTTGGGAAGTAGAGAAGTTCATTATCTGAACAGTTGTCAAACACTACTGTCTACAGCATACTCTCTTTGTTCTTTAGTTTTCTTGTTTTAAAAGGTAATTTATTTTAATTCTTTGTTTATATCTCCTTCATAGCCTTTCTGGCCAATGGGAACAGGAATAGCTCGGGGCTTTCTAGCTGCTATGGACTCTGCCTGGATGGTACGAAGTTGGTCACTAGGAACAAATCCCTTGGAAGTCCTGGCAGAGAGGTAATGGGAAGTAACCCTGAGTCCTTTCCATGAGAAAACTGGTAGGAAGGAGTGGTTCAAGCTCTTCCTTCTCTCCCTCCTTTCTTTCTTTCTTTTTTTTTTTTTTTTTTTTTTTTTTTTTTTTTTTAGTTTTTAAATTTTAAGTTTTTAAGAGCTCGGGGGGCTATGATGAAGGGTGTTCAGTTGCCTTGTTTGTTTTTGTTGGGACAGAGTCTCCTTTTGTCGCCCTAGGTAGAGTGCAGTGACATCATTGTAGCTCACTGCAACCTTCAACTCCTGGGCTCAAAGTGATCCTTCTGCCTCAATCTCTCCGGTAGCTGGGACTACAGGCGCACAATACCCAGCTGGGTTTTTTTTTCCTTTCTTTTTGGTAGAGCAGGGTCTCACTCTTGCTTATGCTAGTCTTGAATATCTCCCACTTTGGCCTCCCAGAGTGCTAGGATTATAGGCGTGAGCCACCGTGCCCTGCCCTCTCTCCTTTCTTAATTAAAGATGTTTTCATGTTTAAGAGAGGAAAGGCAAGATACTATTTCATAAAATCATAGAAACCTAAAGATTAATCTATTGCTCTTTTCTTATCCCTTCCCAAATTAAATTTATTACTGATGGAGAAGAAATTAAAAGTGGTTTTGAAATCAAAGGAAACACCAAACTGCTTATAAATCTTTCTCAAACCCTTAAATGTCAGATGTTTTGAAGCAGATTTTTGCAAATGAGATAAAAATCCTAGGATGTGCTGGATGATAAAGAACTAATGCCTTGACCAGAAGAACTAGAGAGATAAGATTTCCCAGACGAAATTGGTAGTTGATATCATTTTATCATTCTAAGTCTGTTATTTAAGGCATTCTAGCTAAACATGGTGGCAAGTTCTTTTTTTATCTGTGATTTTCTTAAAACTTAAATATTGGCTTACTTGAAAAAAACAAAGCAGTAAGCTAGTTGCCTTTTAGATAAGAGTCAGGCATTCATTACTGCTCATAGCATTGTACCTGTTCTTCTCCTTGACTCTTACCAGTCAGTGCCCTTGGGATGAACGAGGTGGTGGGTATGGGAAACAAGGCCTGGTTGAGGAAAGTGGTCAAGGATGAGGATTCGTTGTATACTTTAGACAATTTGGTAGACTGTCAAAAAATAGAAATACTACAAAAGGGGAGGGAGATGTTTATGGTGCTTGTCACTCCTGTGAGCATATTGTTGTATATTATTGCAGGGAAAGTATTTATAGGTTGCTGCCCCAGACCACCCCTGAGAATGTGAGTAAAAACTTCAGCCAATACAGCATCGACCCTGTCACTAGGTATCCCAATATTAACGTCAACTTCCTTCGGCCAAGCCAGGTAAGAGCCTTCTAGTCAGTTTATCTGCATCTGGGCCCATTCTCAGGACTGATCAGAACTCTGATATATTGAAATGTATAAAGCTATTAATACCGAACATATACAGAACACTTTTTTAGTAATCCAAGTAGATCTCTTTTTGAATTGGTGGAAGTATTATTTTCAGGTTATTTTCCATCAACAGATTGGGCAGCTAAGGCGTAGAGTTGTTGATTGACTTGCAGAAGATCAAACATGACCAAAAATGGTGGATCCAGGACTTTATCCCACACCTCCTGATTCAAATTGCATATTGTAGGGGAAAGAGCACTTGTCCAGTAGTCAGGAGATGTGACTTCCGCTTTCATTATAGGCTAATCACCTGTGTCTTGGACAGGTCATTTCACGGTCTCTGAACCTCAGTTTCTTTACCTGAAAAATGGGGATAATAATCCCTACCTACTCACAGGACCATTGTGAGGGCAAGTGGGATTGCTCACTTGAAAGAACTTGGAAAGATAAAACACTTTTGAAAGTAAAAGATACTATTAGTATTATCAGTTGGTTTTTTTGTACTACTGAGTTGCTTCTCAGGATCTCTAAATCTCAGTACTGCAATGAGGATGACATCTTACAAAGCACAATAATCCCAAAAAGTAGAGCAACTGTAAGAAAGCAGCCCATTGATATATTGGCCTGTGTTCTAGTGTAATTTTTAATTCTCTTTCTACTTGAAGTTTACACCTTTAGGCCTTCTGTACCTATATGTAGTAAGTTCTTAAGTTGTCCATAAAACCTGCTGTTTACGGGCAGCTTAATGATCCAATAGAGACTCTCAGAGGGACGTCTGTGGCCAAGTAGCTAAGTTTTAGCACAACTTCTTACAGTTAATATGCATTTGTTTCTCTATAACCCCACCTCATTCCATGAAGGATTCAAAGCCATCACGGTAACTTCTCTCTGAACTTTGCCCAACTTGCTTCCCAATCTTTCATCTTAGCCATTTTGCTTTTAGGTGGGAATTTATTACTTGATGTTTGATTTTCATTGTGTTTGACTTTGTAACTTTCTGCCAGGTGCGCCATTTATATGATACTGGAGAAACAAAAGATATTCATCTGGAAATGGAGAACTTGGTGAATTCCCGAACTACCCCAAAGCTGACTCGCAATGGTGAGTGCTGGCAGTGGCCTTTTGAAATACAGGTAACCTATTCAGAGAAGTCTGTACTCATTTATTGAGCCGTTATGTGTCCACAGTACCGTCTAAGACAGTGGCTGTCAACCAGGGGTGATTTTGCCTTCCAGAGGACATTTGGCAGTGTCTGGGGACATTTTTGATTGTCACAATTGGGGGCAGGTGCTGCTGGCATCTAGTGGGTAGAAGCCAGGGATGCTGCTAAACCTCCTACAGTGCACAAGGCAGGTCCCCACAACAAAGAATTACCTTGGTCCTAAGATGTTACGACAACATAGAGATAAACCAGATACACATGCTGGAAGGGGTGTGGGGAGAGTAGGGGGGAGAGAGCATGAGAGCTAAGGTTTTGGGGGAAGACTTTACAGAAGAATTGGTGGCATTTTAGCTGGGTCCTGTGGCTGCCAGGATTCAATGACAAAGATGCAGCCCACTCCATACGTTGTGTGTACTGAAGCTGTTGTGAAAGCAGCGTGAAGTGAGTACACCTGATCAGTTGCATGTAAGAAGACTGGAGAAGGGAAGTGCCAGAGGTGGGGAGACGAGTAAGAAATGCATCACGGTGGTCAAGCTAAAGGTGGGAAAGGCCCAAATCTGATCCTAAAGCTGCGGATGGAGAAGAAAGAAGTGGGTGGAGAAGAACTCTGACTTTGGGGCCAGATGCAAGTGGGTCCCAGTCCAAGCTTTGCCATTTGTGAAGTGTGTGGCCTTGAAGAGATGATTTAACATCTCTGAACTTGGGTTTCCTTGTCTGAAATGGAGGGGCGATCATGAGGGTTCTTTGACTGTGGAGAGTGCTTATTACAGTGCTTGGCACATTGGGGTGGTCACTGGCGTTGATAATTATGTGAGAGAATATTAAGGAGCCACAGGCACGGGCAGCTGTGGGGCAAGAGGCAGGTGTTTGTGGACGGTGCGGCGTCGGTGCAGACAAGGCAGGGCAGAGCTGAGAAGATGTGAGAGAAGGTTTGAGTTCTGTTCTGGACATTTTGAATCTGACATGTTTTTGGTGTATCAGGGTGGATATGAGGACCAACAGGCAGTTGGAAACATTTTCATATTTTTCCACTGGGACGTCATTTCCTTGAAAGCAGAGAGTATCTTTATTCACTGTTATTATTTTAGAACCTGGAATACTGAAGTTGTCCAATACATATTGGATGGTTGGACAGACAGATTTGGGAGGCATCTGAATAAAGTTAATTTCTGAGCCAAGAGATGGCACTAGAAGTGGTTCTATCTGTAGTTTCAGGATACGTTTTCACTGTGAAAGACTTAAACAGGATTTTTGTGATATACATTTTTTATCTTATGTTCACAGATCACTAAATGACTTAGTACAAGGCTAAATATTTTCAGCTGCTTTAGGTAAGGGAACAGACTTCCTTGGACACAAATAGGAGTTCACAGATTCTCTTAAATGCTCCATATCAGAGCTATTCTGATGTAATTTAAAAAAAAGATTGTTATAAAGGCTGTTAGGGTTTTAGAAGAAATATCAAGGAACTGTAAAATATGTGTTTGCCTATTCAGTTTTTTAAGATGTGATAATTTATAATACAAGGTACCAAACTTGGGCTGAGGGATTGTCTGGGGTTCCTGGCTTTGTCAGTGTAACTCTACAGAATTTCTTCACTTGGCAAATTGCTTGCTACCTTGGAAAGTGTAAGAGCAAGACTCTGTTTATTTTTGGTTGAATGTGCTGCTAGATAGAATGGAACCTTTTCTTATCTGTTACTTTGGAGGGAAAAGCCTTCCTGGGCCGCTTGCCAAGCAACTCTCCAGGGAAATGCTAGAACTGTTGCAAATGAGGGTGATCGCTCAGTAGGTGGCACTCTTCCATCTGAGTCAGCGTCCATGAGTGCCATGGGGACACTGGGCTTCGGCATGGTCAGGTCCAGACCACGCCGGGTGTGATTTATCAGTCTGTTAGCGGGGTGGACATTGACCTTAGAGTCTGGATAAATTGGTAGTTTCCTGTCTTTCTATAATAGCACTATCATGATACCAGCTACATAACCTTATTCCTCACTGATCTCAAAAGATTTGAGATCTAGTGGTAACTATTTTGTCCCTATCCTCAGTAATTTTTCACACTGGATATATGTACTGAAGAGAGGATCCTATATCCTGTGGTTACCACACTTCAGATGATGATTGTTGTTGTTTCAGAGTCTGTAGCTCGTTCAAGCAAACTGCTGGGTTGGTGCCAGAGGCAGACGGATGGCTATGCAGGGGTAAATGTGACAGATCTCACCATGTCCTGGAAAAGTGGGTTGGCCCTTTGTGCAATTATCCACAGATACCGTCCTGATCTGATGTAAGTCCTGACCAAACTTTGTGTTTTATTTTATGTTCCCTAAAGATCTCAGAGTACCTTGCTATCAAGTAGCCAAATTGTGTCCTTTCTCCTAGAATAAGGTACATAGTAAGATACTTCGGAAGGCAATGATTTTGATTTAGTTATATTTATAAACACTATATGTCATGCATTATATAGCTCAACCCAGGACCAACCTGGGCCTATTAGCTTCACACAAAGGAAAACTGTTTATTGGCCCTGAGTTGAACTCTTCATTTCAGCCAACTGTCTCTCAGACTCTCTCGATCACAAGGGAAACCTGGCTAGAACATTTGGCCAGCTCAAGGCAAATATGTCACAACCAACAAAACAAAAAACAATGAATACTTCCCCTGTTTTTGATGGTTCATTGGCATTTTCTCTTTGTTAAAGACTATACTTTTTGCAAACACGCACTGTCAGGTCCATGAAACTTTCCTCATGTTACCCACCTATAACAGTAACATCTCTTTGGCCATTCCCTACTCACCTGTCTACAGAATCAGTACACTAGGAGGACCCCAGGCCAGCTGCAGAGACCAGTGCCCTCAGATTTCCCCCATCAGCGTTTGTTACCATGGAAGCCAAACAAAAAGATTCAGAAACAGAAGCAGAGCATGTTGAGTTTGGCTGCTTATCGTTTTTATCATTAGGTCCACTTAAGGGCCTAGTGTCTGTTTGTTTTTTTTTAAATGATTGCTTAAGGAATCCTAAAAGACATAGTCCCTGTTTTTATGATGGTCATAAGCTAATGAGACAAGAGCTAATAAAAACAGTCTTGCACAGTGTGGATGAAAAATGGGGATTTCTGATGTGCTTGGGTGACAGTAAATGACCTCCTGTGCTCATGTCCCTTAGCTCATCCAGAGTTAGTAAAAGATAAATGAAAGCAGGGGGTTGGGGAGGTAGAGCAGCTTGAGAAAGATTGTGCTCAGTGACACTAAAGTGCTTCAGAGGATGGGGCCAGGTGAATCAGCATATTCCAAAGGCAAGGCAAGAAAAAAGGATGCAGGCAGAGGTAGTTGAGGGTACAGATTGGATGAAGGGCAAGTGTGGAGGCAAAGGAGATGTGTCCTGTCAGACCAGGCTGCCTAGAGAAGGTCTTAGGGGAATTAACTCATAGCAGAACACAAAGCAGTGGGGAGGTAATTGGCACTGTTTAGACTACAATGACTTCTTTCAGGATGAGTCTCCATAGTTTAACACACTTAACCTACAGAGAAAAGGAATTTGAAAAAATGGTATGGGGTCAGTAGGTTAACACAAAATAAGGACTGCCAGGTTACCCCGAAATCACCTAAAGAACAATGCTATCAGTTCTTACTGTGAGTAGCAAGAAGTAACCCAGTAGGACATGTTTATTAATCCAAATACTTGGGAAAACTCAGAAATTTAGCAATGGTAAAATCTTTTGAGGAAGGTTTTGAGATTTTCCCTCAAGGAGAAAGCCAAATAAGATTTACAAGAGCTGATTAAGTACATTAACAGCTTGTCAGGTCCAACAGCCGTGGTGGGTGATAATCCTAGGTCTTCAGGAGCAGTCTGATCCAAATAGGATATTTGTCATTATTTGACATAAGTTTAATACGTACCACACACAAGGCACAAGAGAATATATATTAAAGATACTTCCTATTCCTGAGCTTATATTTTAGTAAGAAATTTGTGTTCCTGGAAAAATGAAAGTAGTTTTTCAACTTTTCCCCTCTTTTTTCTTTTATTGGATAGACGTTTAATCATTTTGTCTTGAGGATGCTGTGCATTTCCTTAGTAAAAGGAACGAGAAGAGGTGAGATAAACAGGTTTGCGGTGAGATTTCAGTAATGCGCTGCCCCTCGGATTTTAGCCAGAGACTGAGAAGTGCTGATGGCTCCACAATACTGTGTTCTCCGCTTTGGGGATGGTCTACCCGTCTTGATATGTTTTTCTCGTCCTGTTCTCAGAGATTTTGATTCTTTGGATGAGCAAAATGTGGAAAAGAATAACCAACTGGCCTTTGATATTGCTGAGAAGGAACTGGGCATTTCTCCCATCATGACAGGCAAAGAAATGGCCTCCGTGGGGGAGCCCGACAAGCTATCCATGGTGATGTACCTGACCCAGTTCTACGAGATGTTCAAGGACTCGCTCCCCTCCAGCGGTAAGGCCTGGGCAGCGCTGGTGCAGAAGCCCCCATGGCCTGCTGTGTTGTGACCTGGCCTTCCTTTCCTTCTGACTGTGTCCTTCATCACTACCACCAAACACACACAAGCCGACTGTTTTTACC